GCAGAAATTCTAATGTATGGAGTGAACCGTGGATGCGTTTATGAGTATGCATAGGTGTGCATGTTTGTATACGTGGCGTGAGCTGTTCTTGCGTGTGGTATATGTCCTTACTGTGCACTATTCAGAAACAGGAGATAAATGTTTATGGTGGTCCTCAATTCACTATCTAAATTTTAATATTTGACCCTTAGATCTCCCATAATAATTGATAGAAAACTGTACTCCCAGCTGTACTTTTGTACACACACTAGATTAGAGGATTAAGCTCTAAGTAATATGTCCAAGTCTTTTTCATCGTACTATTGTAAAGGGCCAACAAGGGAGCGTGTATTGCGGGAAAGTAAAGGAAAAACAGATTTTTTTTAAAAAAAAAGTAGAGGATTCACACATCCAATGGTCATGCCTTTCCAATCCCCCTCAAATTGGAAAAAGTTCTAACCATACAAAATACTGTTCAGTTTTATGACAACACGCTTGATTTTTTTTTCTTCTTTTTATATATATTGCACTTGATCAGTCTCATCGTCCTGCCTTGATCATTTGATGTAATCACTTCGAGCAGCAGATTGACTGTGCTCACATGTTGGCACTGTCTGTTTGCTCCCACATTGGAAAGCTAAGGCTCTCAATCATTTGGTTGCACGGTTTATATTGTCATATTCTGGGGCCCTCATTTTGCTGTCTTACATAATCACTTGAATTAGTGTTTTTAGGTGAAACACCATTGCCTGTCTCATCAAAGATAACAAAATGGCTAAATGGTACATTAATACACCTTTTAGGCTAAATATATGATAATATATTCTTCTTAAAATCATCCCTGGCATACATGCGACATCAACGGCTTTTTCTCTCTCTCCTCCACATTAGGATTTGCTGATATAGGATTATGACATCTGAGTTGGCCTAATTCTACATGTCCTAAGGAATGGAAATGGACATCCAGCTGGGTTTATTGTACTAGCCATTAAGAACATTTTTTTTAGGCTAATTATTCCTTAGTTTGAGGGAGGGGCAACCCAATGAGCCGGGATAAAGGGATAAGCAACCAATGATTGGTCCCTTTTGGTCCAATCAGAAACCCAATAAAATCTCTACTCATCCTTTGGGAGAAAGTGGTGAAAGAAAATAAAACTAAAATAAAAGAAGAGGCAATTGAAGGTGAGGGTCCCAGCAGGGGGCACTAGCTAGCAAGTAGTAGGAAGCATGCAGTTTGTTTAGCGTCACTGTCTGCCATTGCTACAGACATTTCGCATTCACTGGCGTCGTGTGGCCGGCGAGCCATCGAGTGCAAGGAAACGTATACACTGACCTCTGATTGGATTCGTCGTCGTCTAAGGCGTTGAGGTGGATCTTGTGTAAGCATGCCATCATCTATGTTTTTCCCCTTCATTCCTTTCTCATCTTCTCTTAATTTCTTCATACATCATCTACTCTTACTTTCTTCGTACTAGTAACATGCCCGAGCATTGTAACGGGCTGGATGTGGCGTAGGCAAGAGCCCTAGGCTTGCCTCCGCATAAATATGTCTGGATCCTTTTAAACCAGTGTATTTTTTGACAAAGCCAATATCCTATTAGTTAAGCTTTACTCGAGCTCTAGGATTAGAAAATTTCTGGCTCCGCCGACCCATACAACAGGATGGATGGGCTGGGAGTATGGATCGAGCATAAAACACTGAATTTAACCAGTTTTTTGGGTTAATTAACCAACCATTTAGGTTTTCGCACTTGCGTGATTTGGGAAGGAGTGAGCGGGCGACTCCAATTTTAAGTGATAGAGAATGGACTAGTAGGACCAATTGCTAATTAACTCAGGATGGTATTATGTGATGCTGCAGGGATTTTTATGGCCTTAAGTAGACAGCACATATCATTCTGTTCCTTTGAAAGTGAAAGCTATAGTTTTAATTTTGGGATTTAATTTTAAGAATAATTTTAGGTGGTATTTTTTCTACTCATCGTCCCAAAGCAGACATACTAATACCATGCATACTGAGTTTAATATTGTTAACATTACATTCAAATAACTAAAAGCACTTTTGGTAGGCATCTTTTGTACGGCACCAGTACCCTCTAGCTTGAGATAGTGTCATCCTTATATAGAGCTAGCCAGTGCCATCCTTAATTTATATAGAATTGCTTCATATTATGCATAGATAAAATTTACAATTGTGGCTCTGTCAACAAAGATAATCCGTTGACATTGGGCAAAGATTTTGTGGTTGTTTTCGCAGCAAGTTGGTTGAAAAATGTTACGGAAGCCATGCAAAGAAAAGGAACTATACTTCAAGGAAGGCAAACAGAAGAAGTTACTGTTTGGAACAAAAGATTCAACCTTGACCTCAGCAATATACTACACCACTTTTTACTGAGAAAAAAAAAGGATGTTGTCACAAATTTCTTGTGAACAACTCACAGAAAGTCACTGCGTAATAATTAATTTCACTTTTACTTAAAAGAAAGAGGCTGACACAAAGTTCTTGTGACAAATCCTGATATGTCAATGTTGAGAGGGTGCTCATGAATTTCCTTATCATGAGATAGCCTAAATATTTTTTTACAAAAAGAAATATGTAAGCTCTGCCTCGTTTCATCCAAAAAGAGATAGTACACTAATAATGCGGAGGGGACAATAGAATCAAAGCAGATTAAGGACCTAGAAATTGTTTCATCAAAGGGCTAAATGACAGAATTCATATAGTAAAGAGACCAATTCTTCGTACGTGTAGAATCGATTGGGATAACTAACTGGCCAAAGCAACGTACTGAGTAGATGTCGTCATGGACGGCAGGTTAAACAATTTAATCTAAAACAACTGCAATTAAGCATGCAGTACTGTCACTATTGTCTATTGATGTACCGTGTTGGAGCTAGTTACTTCAGACTTGCAAATATTAGTTTTGTCACCCTAATGGCGACATGCAGACCAATGCAACCATTTTACGTGGCCTGTTTGCTTGCTTCAATCTGACATTCTGACCTATGCTTGTTGCTTTGATGTCACTAGTAGCTAACTAAGTAGTATATTCTTTGCTGCTAGTGTAGCTTTTTGAACTTATATATTATTTACCAGGAAGTAATCAAGATGTATTCATTAGCTGGTCAGTCACTAGTTAATTACTTTGTGCATGCTTTTGTATTGGTATTGTGGAAGAAAAGATTAGCTAAGAGAAGGGAGAAGAGTAAAACCCACGTTATATTATCAACTTACATTATTCTAAAATTTTAACTAGTCCTCTTCAACCATGGGTATAACAAATCAGAGGAAGATAGGAGATTGTACAAGGACAGCTCCACACTAATGTTTGAGTTTGACAGCAATATAATGCTATGCACATGTTCTTAATTATTTGAAAACTTGTTAGGAAAAACTAGCAATCAACCTGCCAAACCTAAGCTAAGCTAGCTAGCCATGCACTGCAAGCTATTGCAAAGCTTTTATCCCAACTCTTAAGTGTGGCACATATATAGTTTTAGGTTTATATTTATGAAAACCTAGGTTAACACAAAATATGTGCATGCAAATGTGGGCCCAACAAGCACCTTGGAGTGGGCCCCACATCCAATGTTTTAGTGGAAAGGTGTTGCTCAAAAGAGGGGAGGAAAGAAAGGGTTAAGGTAGAGAGGTTGCCCTAAGCTAGCAAAGCTATAGCTAGCGCAAAAGAGGAGCAAGAAAAGGAGCAGAGGAATATATAAAAAAAATGCATCATTGCAGTTGCAGTGCAGCTAGCCACACGATCGAATGATCGATCGAAGAATACGATGCCCCTCCAAATCTGATCCTGCATGCAGCTAGCTTAGCTTAATCAGTTACTTTTTTTTTGTGTTTTGGCAATGAGCATAATTAGTTACTTGCACGATTTGATCGGCGACAGAGTTAATGGCTGGTGCTGATTGATCGATTTGATTAATTGATTGTACTCAGGAGATGCTGCGTGCGTGCCTGCATGAGTCCATGGATTAAGAAAGGAATTATCTGTCAGATCGGTTTAATTAGTCTGTTTCTTAGATTAGCTAGCTTGCAACCGGCGATTCTGCCAGACAGATTGGCGAACCGGAATATAATTATACTACCAGTTAAGCACGATATTGGATTCGACTTGATCAGGAACAAGGTTGTACGTGGGTTGCCTTTTATTTTTTCACAGTAGATTGCTATGGCCTAGTGGTTTGGTTAGATATTGGGGTTTTTAATGTGTTTTTCTTTAAAAAAACGCAAATTAACACTAGCGTACGATCATTTTAGCAAAGTTGTAAGGGGATAAAATAAAGTCACCCTATAAAACTTTTATAGCGGAGCCGGTTAACGCCCGACTGTTTTAAACAGTTGATCGGACTCGCCAACGTATAACAAGAGGTAGAAATTCAGAGTCGTTGATATCACTGTATTAGACGATGTTGATGGTATGTCATAGTGGCTTTTGTCTAGGATATGAAAAAAATCCTAAATCCACCACTGCTTCATTAATTGTTTGTGTAGAACGCTAGTTTAATTATTCTTTATATTATGTACAAAGCTAGTAGTTTAATTGTTGTAGCGCGCATAAATTGCAGGTAGTTTCACAAGGAAATGCACCACCATTCCTCTTGGGATTAAAATTACACCATTATCTCCTCCTTAATATAACACCAGCTTAGCCTGGCTTTGGTTAAAAAAAATTACACAATTATTTATATATATCACGCACGTTGTAAATTCAATCCGAGTCGAATGCAATGAAACCGAGTGCGTACGTGCTCCAGTCAACGGTGGTGTGTATCACATCTACCGCAGGAAAAGGGCGCCAAAAGGCAGAGTAATTTTCACACACATTCCTCCACCGCGCCGTCAAAAATCCCAAAATTTCCACGTAAAAACACAAAAAAAAAAAAAGTACACCAAAGAGCAACCAAACTAATTACCCTACTAATCAATTTCCCGTGAGAAAAAAAAATCAAGAAATCCAGTGCAGAAAACCTAAAACACCAAAAAAAAAGAAAAAAAGAAGAAGCAGTGCTTGCCAATTCGGAGAAGGCATCGAGCTGAAGCCACAGGGCGATCGATGGAGGTGAGGTGAGGAGGAAGAAGAAGACGAGATGGAGTTGGAGTGCACTTCACGCCACATGAGGGAGATGCTATAAAATCCCTTCTCCCTTTTCAATTTCACGCCAACACCCAACCCCCTCTCTCTCTCTATCTCTCTCCTCTCTCTCTCTCTAGCTCTAGCTCTAGCTCGTCGCCGCCATGAACGTTCCAAGCAAATGCATGGCTCCTGCAAAGTAAAAAAAGAAGAAGAAGCAGCAGCTGCAGCTTCTCTTCAGTATCGATCTTTAACTGTATCGAGCTAGCTTAGCTTAGCTTAGCTCTCTGCCATTAACTTGTGCTTCACTGAGCTTGAGCTAGCTAGCTTCTTGGCTGTGTGACTGAGTAGCTCTAGCTCCTCGTCGTCGTCGTCGTCGTCGTCGTCGTCGGCGTCGGTGGTGGTGTGAATTGATAGAATTGATACGATGGAGAGGGCGGCTGCGGCGGCGCCGGTGGTGGTGAGGCATGGAGGAGTGGTGTTGCCGCCGGGGTTCAGGTTCCACCCGACGGACGAGGAGCTCGTGGTGCAGTACCTCCGCCGCAAGGCGTTCGGCCTGCCGCTCCCCGCCGCCGTCATCCCCGACCTCCACAACCTCTTCAAGCTCGATCCCTGGGACATTCCTGGTACGAATTCTTGACGACGACGACGATGTCGAGATGGCACCATGAATGCTTGTTGATTGATTCGGTGTATGTGTGATCCAGGTGCGAGCAGCGACGGGGACAAGTACTTCTTCGCCGTGCGGCCACCTGCGGCGAGGGGGAGGAGGCAGCATGTGACGGCGAGCGGTGGGTGCTGGAAGCCGGCGGGCGGGCGGGACAAGCCGGTGGTGGTGGCCCGGTGCGGCGGGAGCCACCTCGTCGGCGTCAAGAAGGGCATGGTGTTCGTCCCACGGCAAGGGAGGAAGGCACCGGCGGCGGCGGCGGCGGCCGCCGGCGGTGGCTGCTGGGTCATGCACGAGTACAGCCTCGCCCTGCCGATGCACAAGAAGGTGAGAAACCACTACTAATCAATCATATGAGCATATGATTTCCTCCTTAATGATTGATTAATCACTCTCTTGATGACTAGTTGACTGCCAATTTGCCCATTTCTTCATGCAAGAACTGATTGTGTTTGTTGATTGATTTGTTTTCTTTCTTGATAAATCTTCTTGTGTTTCTGCATGCATGCAACTCAAGTGAGCAAGCTTGATAAATCTTCTTGAGCATTAATTTGGGATCCAATATTAAGCTCAAGCTAGCTTAGCTTAGCTTCTCAAAGTGCTACTACTAGCTAACTTGATCATATGTTTGCTTATCACTATTTTTATTAGTTATTTTTAAAATTACTAGCTATATGGCTTTCAAGATCATGTCACATGCTCTCCATTAGCTTAAAGCTGTATATTTGTCTTAAATTACTAATTAGATAATTCTGATAGCCACAGCATAGGTACAAATCAGTTAACCAGTCAAGTACTATGCTAGAATTTGCCAATAAATAAAACAAAAAAAACCCAGTTCAACACAAACTTCTCAGCCATAACTAATTAACCGAGGAGCATCATACAAATTAACACATACAGGCAGGGTACAGTCTGCACATCAAACTGTCACAACATGCTCATTAATAGTCATGATCAACAACAACAATAACTCGCAGTTTTAAATTGCTTCTGATGGTGGTTGCAATTCATCCTGACATGGAGAGGTGGCTGTACTAGATGCTCTCTGCTCATCAGATCGAATCGTCTCATCAAGTTGTGCAGCTCCACTACTACCAGTATCTGCTAGTACTAGTACTACTAGCCACTCTCTTGCATATATGCAAGAACCAACCAAACCAACCCAGCAGCATCCAATTAAGCTGACAAACAAGTAGTACCTCAGGCTATTAATCATGTTTGTTGGGATTACATTAACTAATGCTTAATTAGCCAGAACAACAGTGTTCCATGCCTGCTCCTGTGTCTGAACAAGCTGGGGCCTGTATATATTTCAATGCTGTCCAGTAGATCGACCAGTGCTGTTGTGGCCAGTTCTGTGGCCACTGTTGAAGATATGTGCAGTAGATGTTCATGCTCGTTTTGATTGAGAGAATCTTGAAATTAAAACACCTTGCTGGCAATTAGTTTGATTGACAAGCTGTACTTGAATGCTACATCTCGTATATCTACTTTTTTTTTTGAAGAAAGATGCTTGAATGCCCTAGAATTCATGTAGTTATATTTTCTGAAGTTTGATCGTAAATACATATATAAAACCATCTGAACTTGTTACATGAAAATTATCATTGCAATTGTCATTTAAAAAACTTTCATGATATTAATTTTGCTAGTATATTTTAGTGTAAAATTAATTAAATTAGCCTGGATTAGTACATAGTGTAGTAGGAGTAGCTAGTACCATTCCTTGCAATATCACTACTAATGCTAACACTGTGTTTCACTGCTGTTGCTAGAACAGACTGAACAGTAGGATTTGCACTTGAATTTCAGCATATATTAAAAATAAAGTACAGAGGATAGAATTCCAGAAGAAAGACCATAAATTTTGAACAGTTTTTAGGTTGCTTAAGCTTGTGTGTCCTTTGTAAACAATGTGAAAACTACAAAAGAGTATTTCAAGAAAAAAAAGGGAAAAATTAAAAAAAATGAGTACATGGACAGAAACAACTGAAGTTTTCAAACACAGCTAAAGCTGGAATGTTCTTAGATCGATGAAGCTGACATATTTTTTTTTCTGATTTGTGTGAACGATCTCTGCAGGGTTGCTTGGCTGAGGCTGAAGAATGGGTAGTGTGCCGGATATTTCAGAGGAGCAGCAGCGGCAGCCGGTCGCCGAGGAGGCCTGACAACGACGTGAGGCGAACGATGCCGGCCGTCGCCGAGCTCGGCCGGTCGCCGTCGCCATCGTCGTCGTCGTCGCAATCCAGCTGCGTCACAAGCAGCTCCGACCAGGAAGAGGTCAGCAGCGGCTAGCTAGCTGAAGAAGAATGCAGGCAGCAGCAGCAAGCAGCTAAGCTGCCTCTCAAAGAGAGGCTTGAGTGTTAGCCTAGCTAAGCATATATATTTATAGCCGGCCAAACCCTCTGAAAGTGATCTGCATCAATGCATGCCCCCCTTTAATTTCTTCTTCCTCCTTAATTATTTTTTCCCAACCATGTAATGTAATGTAATTTAATGTAATGCAGTGTAATGTAACGGGAAGGAAGCACTGAATTAATCAAATTAAATTAACAAATGAAGAGTGCTCAAAAGTCCAAGGAAGCTTCTAAGGTTCAGGAGCCAGATATTATCTACTTAATTAATTAATTATGGGCACATATCTGTAGTTGCTAGCTAGCTGCATATGCATCTCGTCGTTGTCGATCCATTTGTAACTTGCAAGTTGTGTTGGTGTAATATTGTAATATTTTTCTCCGATGGTTGAGAAATTAATCTGAAATCCATTATAGCAATTAATTGCAACTGTTGCATGTCTCATTCTTTTTTTCTTTGCTTTGTTTTCAGACTCATGTACTCTACATGAGTTGCATGTCTCATTCCTTAACTACCCTGTACTCTACATGAGTTGCTTATGCCTCACCAACTCATGTTCACATACATAGAGATGATTTTTTTTTCTGAGAGATATATCATTCTGTATCACATAAATAACTTATCTTAGAATAAAATGATAAGTGTGCTTAAGAGTTGATAAGGCATACTACATAACTTCATTTCCCCACAAAAGAAGGCATACAATCAACAGCATTTAGCACAATAAGAAGCTAGCTAAAACTCTTGACAAATAAAAGGCTGCTATCATGCGTGCACATAGACATGCATGCACATATATGTTAATTATTATTAGGTTAAGGATCAACATAACTAAATTATATGAGTAGCTAGTGCTTGTCTGCTCTGCCAAGAGAGAAAGCTGCACAACACCTAATGCCACCTGTAGGTGCTAATGCTTTAACAGTGCTGTTCTTTTAATAGTGTAGATCCTCATTTTATTTTCCTTCTTTAAGAGAGGGATCCTTGTTTGCTTTGTGATCCATATAAACGTAAGCAACTCCATTAATCTCCATTCCAGCTGGATTAATTATTAATGCACTATAATTAATTCAGTACTGTCCGACAAAGCATACAATTCTTGTACTAGTTCTGCAAGAAAAATTAAAAAAGCAATACTTCCTCTGTGCTAAAATAAATATAGTTTTACACTGTTCATGTCTAACGTTTGACTGTTCATCTTATATAACATTTTTTTATAGTATTTTTGTTGTTATTAGATGATAAAACTAGTACTTCATATGTGACTATTTTTTTAATAAATTTTTCAAATAAGATAAATGGTCAAACGTTGAACATGGATACTCACGACTGCACTTATTTTAGGGCGGAGATAGTATTTAATTAAACACACATAACCATATGAGCTAAGAGCATGTTTAATTAGAACATAGAAATTCTGAAAGAATTCCACAATAATATAATCAGTTCATTTCCTACCAGCATGAAAAAGAACAGATGCTCCAAACAGAACCTAATTAAGATTGTCATGCATGCAAAGAGAGTTTAGCTAGACTTGAAGGAAATAAACAACCAAAAGCTTAATTACAATAGGATAAGGGTGGCAATGGACGAGTGGTTTGAGAAAGAGATGCTTTCCAATGTGCAAAATGAGAGAGATAGTAGATGATAGCCTTCAGCTTGAGCTTTGATCTCATTCAGTGGGAGAGAGTGTGTGTGTGGGTGGGCCCAGTGATAGCCAAGCGAATCCACTCTAGATTTGGCTTTGAATAATAAAGGCCATGTGTCACACTCACCAACAGCGACCCACACAGGCCACTAATCACAAACATATATGGTGAGATTTTGCTTAAGCTATAGCTCACCCATTTGGTAGGCTCACCTCCATTAAGGCACAAATAATTAGCCGCATAAATACTTTCTCTTCACCTTTTATGGCCCTTTTGTTTCTTCCCTTAACTTTGTCCAATCCAACCAAATATCATATCAGTGACTGAATCATATATCCGCTGATCTTGAAGATTCTCCTTTATAGTTTGAGAAAAACAAAACAACGGTTATACATATTAACTATCGCCAACCTTAGATAGGAATTTAGCAATTGGTGTCATCTCTATCTTTAAGATGATGTTTTAAGTAATTATTTTATTTCAATTAAGTTGTGATTTTATAGTTTACAATAGTTCGTCCTGGACCCTCTATAATAATTAGCTGTATTTTTTTCAAGCAAATTAAGACTGAAATAAATTTTATTAATAAAAAAAGTGTGTATATGCCTAGAAAAAGTTTAACACGAAATATATTCAGGTTTGGCTAAATTGGATGCTAATTTGCAACCATCCATCACTTTCTGAACTGACTGTTTCTTTTTCCTCTCAGATAGATAGCTGGATGGATGGATGGATAGAAAGATGTTCGCATGGTTGATTGGCTATCTAGCTAAGCTGCTCCCCGGTTGCCTGAATCCTCAGAACTGCATCATCTTCAAGTCGCTAATCCAGCACCCATTTGAGCGTGACAGGTTGATTAATTGCAGTACGTATATGCACTGTGTCGCCTACGCTACACGTCGTTGCTTCAGCTCTCTGAACTCGTGTACAGGGACAGTCTCGACTACTGTTCATGCAGAGCAGTGTGCAGTGCAGCATATATACATGCACCCATCCTGACCTGTAATTTTCAGGCGTATTCAGCCTAGATCGCGATGAACAAATCGATAGACTGATTGATGTATCATCATCATCACTACTCTATCAATCCAAGATCCAAGGTTAATTAGCCTCTTCTTTTTTGCATAGCGATCGATCGATCGAGCCATGTGTATATTTGCTGATAGATGTTTACAGCTATAGCTAGCTAGATGCAGGTTAGGAATCAGCAGGGATCAGAATTGAATATATATATATAGTTGTGAAGAATGCGACATGGCGAAATAGATAGATAATTAGATGCATATTGCGAGCTGGCTAGAACTGGACGGCGCCTGAAGAAATAAAATTGATCTTATGAATTCTTTCTAGGGACCATGATTGATTTATTTCAGTGAGGTGTGTTCTAGCTGATTACTCGTAGCAGTACAATTGAGCAGTTGCAGCATCTGTTGCTTTCGATATCTTGTACAAATTTTTCCAAGGCTTATTGTCTAGCTGTTAGAGTTTGTGTCAAATATGTGTATGTAGTCGGTTACAGTTTAGGACATGGAGTTGTAATAGGTATTAGGATTAGAGTAAGAGTCGGACTCTGTCCTAGGATCTCTCATAAATAGAGGGGCGTGCCTGTTGTAATCGCATGGCGACATAGCATAGCGAGAGGGAGCGGCTGCCGGCGGCGACCGACCGTGAGTCGTTGTAGCTCTGATACCACTTAGGTTGGCATGGCATATTCGCCAAGGTGGAGTTTGTTAGAGTTTGTGCCAAATATGTGTACGTAGTCGGTTACAGTTTAGGACATGAAGTTGTAATAGGTATTAGGATTAGAGTAAAAGTCGGACTCTGTCCTAAGATCTCTCATAAATAGAGGGGCGTGCCTGTTGTAATCGCATGGCGACATAGCATAGCGAGAGGGAGCGGCTGCCGGCGGTGACCGGCCGTGAGTCGTTGTAACTCTGATACGCTGTAATATACTGGATCGGAAAGGAGCGCCCGTAATCAGTGCCCCGGAGATATAGGCCTCGGCTGAACTCCGTTATCAAATATCGTGCCTCGGTGTCGTCATCGTGTTTGGATCTCCTATGGCGTTTTCTTCCACGTTTAGCTACCGATGTCGATTTCGGGGCTGGTTTTATAACACTAACTAACTAAATTAAATCTCTTGCAGGTAAGGAGTTGAAATTCCTCTCAATTAATTAAGGTTTCTGAATCATCCATCCATCGATCGTTCTAGCTAGTTAGTTAGCAAGCCATGTGTCTATCTGTAATCTCCTGTTATTACTAGCTCAGTTAATTTCAAGAAATATATATGCATGATTGATTTTCATTTTCGTTGGCAAAATTGGAGTCGACGATTGCGGCGTGTGGAAATTGTGAAGAAATACTAGTAACAGTCACATCAATCTGCTCCTGATATATTCCTCGAGCTAGCTAGATTCCAACACCGGGTTAGGAGGTGTTTCAGTTTCTCACTCCAGCTAGCTTAGCTAACTGCATCTATCTCTCTCTGGTCAGCAGTTGCTTTCAGACAATTAACTGAATGATCAATGAATGGATGAATATGTGCAGCTAGCTGAATGTTCTGGTCCTGGTTCCAGAAGAGATAATGTCTGAAGAATGTGAGTGCATGCAAATGCTTGCTTGGTTGCCGGGTGTCTGGGTAACTTCTCCGGCCACACCACGGCACGGCAGCAGCAGACAGGCAGGCTTCTAATTGTGAAACTCTTCTCACTTCCCACAGCATCTGATTTTGACACTTGCATTTTGACTCGATTTCAGTGACCAATTCTCATTGGCCTTGCAGGTTGGTTAGCAAGTCCAGCTACACCGTGCTTCCATATTCAGACACTGACTGACTGACTGACCTGACTTATCTTCTGCTTAACTTTCTTTAAAGATGATAGAAGCTTTTACTGCACATACTCAATTACATTGAGATAATACAATTATCCTACAAACATTTCCGACCTCATATAGCTAAGATGTACACAGCGAGACACACACTCCTGAAAAAATTCAGAGTGATAAATCTATGAATAAACTAATAATGGTGATGCATGTTAGTTTATGCACAGATCGACCGACCGAATGAGTAGCTGAAGTATCAGATGGAGATTTAAGAGGATGTCTGTCTGGCCAGGATGATTGTGTTCTTCTTTTCCCCTTGCTGGGCCTACATGCAGAACAGCAAGAATGCAAGCAACCAACTGCAGATAAGGCCGATGGATAACTACAGTGCACTAGTGCCAGGACACACCTAACATCTACTAATTGATAATTGGGAGCGTATCCTATGCACACAGGCCCTCGCGTGTACACACCATGTACACCAACTAAAAATTATCACAAAAAATTCTAGAAAAATTCATACATGTACTTTCAATAGTATTACATCTACGTGCAAAGTCGCATCTTTAAATTCATTCTACATAGAGAATAACAAAAAAGATAAAATTCTGACAAAATTGCAAACCTTAAAACTGTCAGATTTTTTGTTTTTTTTTTGTTACGGCTAAAATATAATGAATTTGACGTTAAGATTTTAACCCCTAGGTGTAATACAATTGAAAGTATGTGTATGATTTTTTCTAGATTTTTTGGTGATATTTTTTAGTTGGTGTGTACGTGTGTACACGTGAGGGCATGTGTGTATAGGATATGTTGTCTTGATAATTAGCAATCGATCACATAATTGTGCGTACCCCAGCTAGCTGATGCTGATGACCATCGGTGACGGACCAGTTTTCATCTTCAGAAAAGAAAAGCCTTCAGAATGAAGAGAGAACTGCACACATC